CTCCAGCTCCGGACCCTTGGCAGTTGTGCCCATACTCACAAGTGCTCTTGTAATAACTTGGTCTACCACTAGACTGGACTCACAAGGACAGGCATTACCTTTGCCTCGTTTACTGCTGGATCTGTTTGCAAAGTGCTCAAATGGGAGACATGGATAAGTGTCATTTTCTTTCACTTGTAAATTTCAAATAAGTGGATTAGAGGCATACTTAATAAAGCAGATAATCCATAAGCCTTGCAATACTAATAAACATGTGCATATGTGTACAACGTATGTACCCACGTGCATGCGTGCACACATACACCGTGGTTGTTGATGTCTGAGGATAAAGTTTTTAATGTAAGTGCCATTGCCTTAAGCATAGGTGTCTGGGCACTTAGATGAGAAAGCTTTAAGAATGAGACAGCAATTGAAAGCAACCCAAGAACTAAGAACTCGCCACTCACAGATGAGCAAGGCCATGAGTCATCTTTGCACAGAGAATTTAACTGTGATAATATCAAGGAAACAAATGATGAAATAGTAGCCTGTTAGGACAAGTGGGTATATCATTCACACTAATCCAGGTATAGCCCCAAGTAACAGGACTTGTGTGTCTATACCTGGGATGAGCTGATGACCTGCCAAGTAAAAAACAAAGTCAGAAAGGGAGGAGAGATATGAATGCTTTAAGACAATATCAAGTGCCCTAAGGAGAGCAAGTCCAGACAGCAAAAAGGCAACCAAGCATGGTGGGCGAGGGGCTCTCAAGACCCCACGGTAATTAATGGCTGCTGAGGTGCCTTTTCTTCAGTAGTGCGGGCACTGTTGAGTTCTCCATGCTCCAGCAAATATCCCCCGCACCCATGCTCATGCAGGCATCCTAATTATTCTCATTCAAGGAAAGAAGAGGCATGAATGTAGAATCAGGACTTCTTGGGAAGAAAGGGTTCAGAGGGGCTGGATGGAGATAAGAAATGCCGATGGGGGGGTAGCATGATTATAATGCATTATATACGTGTGTGAATTTATCAAAGAATAACTATAATATTTTAAAGGGAAATCAGTTGTGCATTTCATTCCTGGCTTTCCCAGATTTTTTTTATGTTATTTAGCTTGGCCTCATATTTTTTTAACTTGTGAAATGAGGATAAATATCCCTTCTAAGGGGTTTTATAAGGTAATAAAAAAAGATGACAGATCCTGTGAAAGCCCTGTGAGTACAGGACCCAGAGTACAGGGATGAGGCATGGAAAGCTTAAGTTGGAATTAACATTTGTCCAAGATCCCACCTGCAGATAGAAATTTAGTCGTCATCTAAAACACATAAGACATGGCAGTGGTTATATCATTTGGCATTGTAGTTTGGTTGCGATGAGATCAAAAGTGCACTATATAGTCTCAGGCCTGGCATTACACATGATCTTTATGAGCTGCAAATGAAAGGCCCAGGCCACCAAAGGCAAAGCAGATCGCCAGGGAAGGTATGCAGATTAAAATTAACATTTACAGTTGAACCGTGGCCCCCGTTTGCCTAATGGAGGAAACATTTGCAGTGAAACAAGTCACAATTTTGTAATTGATGTGTAAAAATACTTTACTATCTCATGACATTAAGTTGGGGTATGTTGTGCATTTTCTACATGGATGCCACTTAGTGGCCGCAACACCACCTCCTTACCTTAGTTAAAACTAGACAAGGAACATCTGACTGCCAGTGATTTATGAACTGGCAGAACAGGTCATTATCAAACTCCACAGTCTAATTCCAACGATTTAATTTTTATTGGCCTCCACAAGTGCTTTAGCTTAAATTTTTTTTGCTAACTTTGTTTTAATAGAAGTATTTTGGCTTGAGTAAGTCAATACCATAGAAACAGTCGTTTCTAGACATAATACATGTCATAGTTATTATGTCTAGCCCTCAAATTTTTCATCATCTTCAACACAAACTCCCTGGTCCTCCAGTTCCCTCAGCCCCTGAGATAAAACAATGTAAAAGGAGGAAAGGGTTTTTGTCTATCACAATCTCAAAGGTTTCAGCCCATGGTCCCTTGGCTTGACAGCTTCCATGAGGGAGCAATAGAGATAGAAAGTTGTTCATCTCATAGAGACTGGAAGGAAGAGAGAGGGAAGGGGTCAGTGATGAAGTGTACCCTTCGAAAGCATGCTACAGGGGCTTGAAGCGATGGCTCAGCAGTTAAGAGCACTGCTGTTCTTCCAGGGGTCCTGAGTTCAATTCCCAGCAACCGTATAGCGGCTCACAACCATCTGTCATGAGATCTGGAGCCCTCTTCTGGCATGCAGGCAGAACACTGTATACATAAAAAAGTCTTTAAAAAAAAACTGGACGTAGGTGGCACAAGCCTTTAATCCCAGCATTGGAGAGGCAGAGACAAACAGATCTCTGTGAGTTTGAGACCAGCCTGGTCTACAAGAGCTACTTCCAGGATAGCCTCCAAAGCCACAGAGAAACCCTGTCTTGAAAAAACATTAATAAATCAAAACAATAACAACAACACAAAAGCAAAAGGCATACCCCAGAAGCCTGTTTCCTGTAACTAGACTCCACATATTATAGCCTGCTCAACTTCTCAGTAGCCAGTTGACTTAAGAATTCATCAATGGGTTAATCCACTGATTAGCTCCACGTCCTCATGATCCATTCACTTCCCAGAGGCCTCACCACAGATACTGCTGCTTTAAGGACCAAGCCTTCAGTGCATGGGTTGGGGGGAGCATTCTTGACGGAGATGTAATACATGGCGATTTCTATTGTACTTTCTGGATTTTGGTTTACCTACTTTAATGCCTCATATAAATGGAATCATGAGAAGCTGTCCTGTGATTTATTTATTGCCATGTTTCCATAGTTCAGTATGCTGTAGTGTATACTGAAGTTGTAGTCTTCCTTGTACAAAATAGCATTCCATTGGGTATTTATACAGCTCTTGGCATACTCATTCATCTCTTGATGGATGTGGGTTGCTTCAAACATTTGGTTGCTCATGTGTTGATGTTACAGTCTCCACTTTTAATTATTCTGGAGATGAAGCAGAGTTCGAAACCACGAGTTTTAATACCATAAATGTGCTGTGCATGTTTACATGCATGTGAATGTACTCGTGGGTGATTTGAGCTCTGTGTATCTGTGCTTCGTTCATTTCAAAAATGAAATTCTTTCAGCATCACTACCAGAAGAAGTTCCACCTCCATGGTGACTGGATAATGCAAGCTATGTAGTGAAGAGCCATGGCTTCCTGCCACTAATGAAACCTTTGTGTGGGTGTGTCCACATTCTTAAACACTATATAGAAAGTAGCCTTTCTTCCCAATGTAATAGTTATTTGTACTTTCTTCATTCTCCAAAACTGGTACTCTTTAATAAAATAGCAAACCCCAAATAATACAGAAAACCACTGCCAGTAGTCATGCTAAGGTGGAGAGAATGAGGCAGATGATGCAACTAAGCTCTGGGAAGCAACGCCAGTTGATGTTGCTCTTCCCACAGAGCCAGAAACATCCAGCCTAGAAACAAGATGGTTCCAAGTAAGCATGCACAAATGTTTAGAGGAGAAGTGAGTGCAGGATCTGCAGACTAGAGAAGCAGGAAGCCTGTATCTGCAGGGTCAGGGGCTGGTGGCTCCAGCCCACGTGGTTCATGTCCCTGTCTCACTGAAAGACGGTATGTCAAGACAGCTGGCCTATACTCACTCAGCTTTATTACAGGGTGATTGCCTAATGCAAAATTTTCCATTGTATAAAGAAGAGATTAAAAGGATTGTATAACAGTATTAAATCACCCAGGAGTTTCTAATACCTGACCAAAACCTCTTAAGTGTCTTTAAAGACAAGAAGACACTGCCAGGAAGGAGGAGACTAGGGAGATGTGTCACTCAGGGCAGTGTGGGGTCCCGACACAGTTCTGGGACAGAGAAAGGACACAGCAGAGAAAGGCAAAGAAAGGCAGCAGTTTGGTTGGTACTGACAGACCAGTGTTGACTTCTTGCTTGGAGTAACTGCCCTAGAATTCTTCAAGATGTTAACAGGCTAAAGTCTGGGCCATACAGGAGCACCTTGTCAGTGTGATGGGCTTGCATTTGTAAGACAACAGCCTTGACATCTGTCATGGTCATGACTCCATCTTTGTCTCCTTTCCAATACCAAATGCAGGGTGTGCTGGATACATCATGTCACTGGCATGTGGGTGTACCCTTTCCTGGAACATATCGGCTCAGGAGCCAGGATCGTCTTCTTTGGGTCAACAACAATTCTAATGAATTTCCTGTACCTGCTGGGAGAGGTGCTGAACAGCTATATCTGGGATACACAGAGAAGTGAGTACCATTGAGTACACATAAAACAAGAACGGTACTGCCTACAGGATCCTTGGCCTAGGGAAACTTCTGAGGCAGCCTCCTCTGCAGTCTTCCACAGGCTGTCCACGGAAGCTTCATTTTTGTTTTACTACTATTATTATTATTGTTATTATTATTATTATTGTATTAATTTAGGAGCTGCTGGCAATGTTACCTAAAAGGTTTATTTCTCACTTGGTCTTATTAGGTAGTAAAACATCCAAACCAGAAGATAAAAGAAGCATGTTTGTAAAATTATATAGAAAAAATACAGTATTGATAAGGAAAACAAAAGTGAAGCCAGCTATGGTTAACAGAATTCTGCTGTAGCAAAAGGACCCTAAATTAAATAGTAAGTTATTGGAAGAGCCTCACTAAAAGTCACCAGATCTTACTCTCTGTGTCATCTTTTCATGGATGTGGTAACCTCAAAGGAATCTCGTGTCCATGAAACCAGAACTACAAACAGTCCAGGTGGCTGCCCTTTGCCAGAGTGGAAGGTCACAGAGAGAATATATTAAAGAATATATTTCAGTGCTGCTAAAGGTCCCTTAACCTTTGACTTGATTTCTCTTTTGTTTCCATTTATAGCAAAGCCTTCTTCTTGACAAGACATACAATCTTATCTAAGCTGTGACAAACCTGTCCAAAACCTATGTAAGAATACATAAACATTGGAAAGTGGAAAGGCAAGATCTTGGCCATGTAGTGATCTGAATCCTGCATAAAACACATCCAGAGGCTGGTATGGGGGTTTCAGGGAGATGTGGACATCTCCTCGGACACGGTCCATCATTCTAGATGCCACCTATGAGTGGACTGTGACCCAGTCACTGTGCAGGAGCTCAGTTCACTTGACTAATAAAGTAGCTCTTGCACAGTCATCGAATCAGGTTGGTTTTGTGTGTGCTTCTTCTTAGACCGTGTGAGTCAGCCAATGCTAAATGGTCCCCAGTTTTAATCCCTTCAGACCACAGCTTGGAGAACCAGACATTAATCTTTTCATGGCATTTCCTCTATTCAACAGAAGCAGTAATCTTTCTCTTTTAACATATAGAATTATTTGGTGCCCTTAAAAATGTTCTTGAAATAAAATGCAAGACTGTTTCCTCACCATCTTCAGAGAATGACTGCAGTTAGATTTAAGTTAATATGTGCAGTCCAGGAAAAATTTTTCTGGCATCGTCTGTCCCCTGGATGTGCTCAATTCTGGCCGACATCTGACCATAACAGTGCTGCTTCCTTGAGGAGTTGCCTGAATGGCAGAAGAGGTAAATATCCAGTCTAGACTAAAGAATATTGCTTACCAGCACACTGAATAGGGAGTTATAAGTGAAAAGAGATGCTGAGTTTTCTGAACTATCCATGCAGCCTCACTAGTCTGTTGTTTTCTTACATGGCATGCATGAAAGTCAGTCACCAGTTCATAGTTTATTTCTCTTTAGAGATTCATTTTGTCTACATTTATGTAGTGGAGTCCTTAGGAGCTGTTGTTTGCATCAAACCAACATCTTTGCACTGATGAACTTCTCACAACTCTGTGAGTGTGTGTGTGTGTGTTTGTGTTTGTGTGCATGCACACGCGTGCACACCCGAACATACACGTGTATATGTGCATGCACATGTGAATGACTGTTTAGTACAGTATAAAATATCTGTTTCCACAAATCAGTTACTATAATGTTCCTCAATGAGAAGGAACACTGCATAGAAGGTGTAAAATGCCTTCCTGAATTCCTTAATGGTTTTTAATGACTCAAATCCTCAGGTTTGTGTCTGCTACAACTTCAAAATGGAACATGTTTTGGAGACTATTACAGCTGGGGGAAGTCCTAGAAATTATCTGAAGCCATCCTCCCCTTTAGAAAGACAACTGAAGCCTGTGAGTGACCTTCTGAAATAACTGGCGTCAAAGCCAGTGTCTTCCATTCAAGCTTCAGGCCCTTGGTACTTCTAGCGAACTATCAGAATGTCTCTGGTTTAAGAAACACAAAACAGACCTGCTTGCTAGGAAACACAAGGCCTGAAAACAAGTTAAAGTCAGGCATTTACTCCGTTTCAAATAAAGTAACTCAAGATAGACATGTGAGAACTGTATGTGTTTGCTCTAATAAAATACCACAAGCTGAGTATCTTAAACAATAGGAAGAGATTGACTGGCACATCTAGATGCCACAAGTTACAAAGCAAGATGTTGTTCAGATTGCTTCCTCGTGAAAGTCTGCCTGCCACAGGTTCCGCTGGGCTGGTATTTCCTCATCTTCATGCTCAGAGAGGTACTCCCTATGTGATGCGGTCTCCAAGTTTCCCCTTTTTAGAAGGACGTATTTGATGAAATTCACCCTAATGACTTCATGTTGACTTTGTAAAGACCTCATCCAAATAAAGTCATATTCTGAGACATTGTGGATTAGGAATTCAACATCACAAGCTTGGATCTCTAAATAATTCATCCTATAATGATCCCCCTACCATAAATGTCTTTCACACATGTAAAATTCATTCTTCTCATGCCAGTAGCCCACAAAAGCCATTCTGGCACCAACTCTTTAATCCAAGGAAGGAAGGAAAGGAGGGAGGGAGGGAGGGAGGGAGGGAGGGAGGGAGGGAGGGAGGTAGAGAGGGAGGGAGGGAGGGAGGAAGGAGGGAAAGAAAGAAGATAGATCTTTTCTGAAATAGGACATAAACCTACAAACCATGTATGGATGAAATTTGGTCATAATTCATCCCAAAACAAAACCGTTCTCCAGGTTTATGTAAACCTATAAAACCAGACAAAAAGTTACCTCCTTCTAAAACATGGTGGTGAAGCAGGCCTAGTTTGTACAGCCCCCGTCCAAATGGGAGAAATGAAGGCGGCAGAAGGACTCTCCCAAGCAAGTCTAAAAGCAAACAGGGGAAATTTCCTTTAATTTAAATGCTTGAGAATAATCCTCTTTGGCAGGATGCTGTAGCCCTGAGGCTCACAAGGAGGAGTTGGGCCCTGCCTTCCAAACCCTGGAGAACAGAAGATTCACCATCCCCCAAATCCTGGACAGGGATCATGGTGTGTGTGTGTCTGGGGGAGGGGTGCTCTGGAACCACGGAAGAGCTAGTGACTGAAAATCCTTGTGTCATTGGCCCTCAGGTTCATGCTATGTCTGAGCCCTTTGTTCAGCTTGGTAATTTCTTTGAGTACGAAACTCTCAAAGACAGTGCTGGTGTCTCCTGCAATTCGAGCAGACCCACACTAGCAGAGAAGAGCACCCTTCGGAAGGTTTTCCTGGATGACTGCCTCTTGTTCTGGCTTCCACTGCAGCAATTGCTTGGATCCATGAGTCAGATGCCTAATTTCTTTAAGGAACAATTGTCTGGCCACACCTTGGGCATTCTCTTCCATTTTGAAGTACTGTGGGTCAGGACTTTGGCATATGATTATGCAATTCAACCCATGACACCTGAAGCATTTCTGTCCTTCAGCTAAGACTCTGTTTTAACTCCAGAAACTCTTGACTAAGGCCGCTGCTCTCACCAGAGTCAAATTTTAAAAGACTAGAAACAAGAGGCTCAATTGTGAAAGGCAGGGACAAGGGCAGAGAGAATAGGCATGAGGGGCTCAAGGGGGAGACTTAGACCCAGACCTCCGTGTGCAGGAACAGGCCCTTTCTCTGTAACACCCATTCAGGTTGCCTGACCCCCTGGCAGAAGCCTCAGGCCCTCACTTCCTGAGCTACTGGAAACTATCACCCTGTGGATACCTCCCCCAGGTCAGTCCACAGAAACAGCCTGCCTCAGCTCTTTGATGGGTTTCTGTCTTTTTGGGTTTTTTGTTGTTGTTGTTGTTGGATTTGGTGTAGTTTGGTTTTTGTGGAAATACATTCAGTTCTTTCATTATTTATGGCTATGTGATTTTTGCCCTCTATCTCACGGCTGCAAAACCAATATATGTGACGAGCCATTTCCTTTCCAAGTCAGAGAAGCCCAGATCCTCTACCTCTGTCCTCTTTTTTTGAAGATTCCACCATTGCTGCCACACCAACCCATCAGCAGAAGAGACCAAAGAGAAAACAAACAAACAAGGAATGATTTTGCATCCCATCTACCCCCAGCTTCCTTATTCCTGTGCAGAGAACATGGAACAGAAGCGGGGACTCGGGTGTGCTCCTGCTGTCTGGAGGGAAACTGCATTGTTAACTGTCTTTGCCTTGGTGGCCTAACCCAACAACAGAGATGTGGAGATGCAGTGCATACTCTCCCTTTCAGCCAGCTCTTCTCTCCTCGAGCCCTTCTGCCTAGGTGTGACGTTTCCCTCACGTGATCCGTAGGAAGTATTTTAGAAACTATTTTAGATCTCAGCCAGTTCCTTGCCTGTGAAAACTGGCCATGAGAGAAGATAGCTTCTCAGAGCGTTGACGCACGTTCCACTGCCTCTTCTGGGCTCCATGAAGCTAACTGGGAGTGGAAGCTGGTGAAGAAGGGGGATCCCTAATTATCCCTAGAATAATTGCGACCCTCTGAGGGTCACAATTATGATTGATCACTGCGGGGTCCTATACGCTGTGTGTTGCTTTTCTGCTAGTCCTGCTTTTAGAGGCCTCCTCTAAGTGTATTTATTCAATGAAGATTAGCTGCACATCTACTGTGAAATAGACACTGCCAAGCACTAGGGCTGTACATAAACAGTTTTGCCCTTAAAGATGTTTGCCCCTAACGTTCTACACATTTATAAAAGAATACTAACAGGACCAGAAAGACAGTATTTCAAATTCATTTGTTCTTTATTGCTATTGAAACAAACACACAAAAAGTATTCAAGAATTTGAGGAAGATTAGAAAAATGTTTATCTAGAAGCAAAAGGAAAAAAAGACGTAGGTGGGATTTCTGGATTCAAGTATAACTTACAAGAATAGCCTGAACAATTTCATCTCCAGGAAAATGAACCATAATCAACCATTCACTGCAGACAACGAACAAAGCCTTCCCGATCCCGTACATACAGGTCCTTCAGGAAAAGCAGATCAGGCTGGCTTGGCTCCTGCAGGGAGAACTTGACTTTCAGCATGCACAAGTATGGGGCCAGAAGTATAGTCAGGGGTACAGTGATTCCTAGCATGCCTGAGGCTCTGGGTTCATGCCCTAACATGAGGCAGCAGACAGGGTTAAGTGTGTGTGTGTGTGTGTGTGTGTGTGTGTGTGTGTGTGTGTGTGTATGTGTATGTGTGTGTATGCAATAAATAATCAGAAACAGCTCCTGTGACTAATTAAGGCTCCTTGAGCTTTTTAAAAAATAATAAAATTTAAAAAGAGAAGCTCTTATGCTTTTAGAAACCCAAAATCCAAGCTTTGAGAATGGACCAAACTGAAGTGAAAAATAAATGAAGCTGTTTAAATGCATCAGCTACATGGCTCCTGCTGCTGGGGGCTGGTTAAGAAACAATCTGGCTGGAGTATCCATCATTCAAACCAATGAGTCAGGAGTCATCCTGCCCCAGGGTCCTACTCCCAGAAGCACGAGGACCAGGCTGTGTCACAGAGATGTCAGGAAAGCGTGGGGAGAGAGGCCACTGAGGATGTTCCTAGAAAACACTGTAAATTTATTTTCTTCTTAGCTAGGAGGAGGGAGGGCATAGAAAGGTGGATGGAAGGAAGCTACGGTATTCAGAGATTCTCCGAGCATCTCTCCCATAGCTCTGCATCTGATGCTCAAATAAATCTTTTTGCTTGTTTTCTAGGTATGGAAGAAGAGAAGGAGAAGCCTAAGCTGGAATGAGATCCAAGTCTAAAAGGAAAAGCAGGAAGGAGCTACTCTTGAATTCTTTTGGCCCTAGGCACCAGCAGTGAGGAGACAAACCTTCAAGGGGCCATGGCATTAACCCTGTCTCCCTGACCCTGAGGGAGGACAACTTTTGTATACAAATATGTGCAAAATAGAATGCTTTGCTTTCGAAAATAACTCACCCTTGTTGTTTTTAAGTACTCTATCCAGGTTCATTATTGATGACATTTTTCCCCTTTTCTAGTTTTAAAACTAAAGTTGGTCATTGAATTTTCATTTCTGCAATAATAACTCCATTTAATCAAGAAGAAATGACTGTTTCTTGTTGAGGAGTATGATAAGAGTTGGAGGGGCAGGTGTGGATCAAGGCATTCACATTTATCTTCAAATGTGGCTGCAGTAATGACTCCAGGCCACAATATGGGCCCAAGAGGAGGCAGAATAGGTGTTCCTGTGGTGATAGAGTCATGGTTGCCTCAAGTGAGCAGTGTTAGTAATAGTATCAATTTAGTCAAATTGGTAAGTGTGCTTGAATCTCCATATTTACTATGTGAATACTTCCCACATGCAAACATTACTGTTAATAAAGGTCAACCAACCAAATGTGATGTCTGCATGGTCCATCTCAGTCGTAACAACCTGGTTGAAGTGTCTGTTCTTATTTGTTTCTATTGAAGCAGACCTGTTAAAAGTAGGTTGACTATACCCAAATTGTTCCTATGATTTTCATTTGAAAAGTGGTATGTCTTAATAATTCCAGAAAGAACACTTTAAGAATCTAACTTATAAACCCTTGGCCATGATTATTTGAAAGGTGGAAAACAGTGTTGTATCAATTATAAAATACTACTTAGTAAAATATTGGTTGTACATGCTAAGATAGATCAACAAGTAATATAAAACCATTTGTACTAAAAATGATTTAATTGGTGATACAAAAAACCCACCCCCATGGGCACCTAGGAATGTGTTCTCTTTTATTTTATCTACAACCACCTCTTCATAAAGGAGCCTGATTACCCCCATTGACTACCAGAAAGAGCTCAGGACTCACTAAAGAAAGAATGTTTTATGAGGCTCCTGGTGATTTATGGCAGAATATTCAAGGACATATGTTTTAGTACTGAATGTGTTCATACATCACAGAATATATGCCCAATTTTAAAAACTATTTTATTAAAAATTTCAACCTGAAGAAAAATTTAGTTAACAACCATGCTTACAAAAACAAATAAAAACACTCTAACAAGTAGCATAAAATATTTTGGGAGAACTTCAACATATCAGTATCAATAACCATTAAATAATTTAATTTATGTACTAAAAGAAGTAGATTTCAGGACAGCCTTCAAAGGAAAGGAAAAAGCAGGTTTCTGAAATTGAGGCCCACTTCCTGGATGGTGAACTCACTCATTTGTAAGTCCCATCTCTAGCAGGATGTCTGACAGAATTATGGGTGGCCCGAGAGGCATTGCCAAATTGGTTCCCTACCTCATAAGAAAGATAATGCAAAAATATTTTGAAACAGAAAAGCAAAGTAACACCACATCCTTGAGGCAGCTCCTATAAATTGATAGTGCCATTGCCAAAGATAGAAGGATCCTGAGTTGATAGTTACCTTCACAACTGCTTTTAACTCACCCTTTTGAACAAAGAACAGATTCAAAGTACAAATTGAGTTGTACTGCCTACAATTCTCAGGTTGAAACCTTAATGTCTGGTAAGTCAGAATGTGACTGTATTTGGAGATGAAACCATTTAAGGAGTGGTTAAGTTAAAATAGGGTCGTTGACAGGCCTCTAATTCAATCTATCTGCAGGTCACAGAGAGAAGCTAAACCAACTAAGTTTCAGTCTTGGACTTCAGCCTCCAGAATTTAGAAAGCTAAATTGCTTTTGCTGAAGCCATCACTCTGTAGTTTCTGATGAAACTCCTAGTAAACTATCTGTGCTTATGTACAAAATACTGATGGACTTAGAAAGGGAGGAGGAAGAAGAGAAGGAAGGAGGAGGAGGAAGAAGAAAGAGAAGAAGGAGGAGAAGAGGAGGAGGAGGAGGAGGAGAAGGAGAAGAAGAAGAAGAAGAAGAAGAAGAAGAAGAAGAAGAAGAAGAAGAAGAAGAAGAAGAAGAAGAAGAAGAAGAAATTGTAAACATATTTAGATGACTCCACTTATCCACATAACAGGAGTTATTACAGAAAATTAGTTTTGCCAGAGTAACCCAATACAAACCCTGATATGTGGCTGTGAAGCTATTAAAATTTTCTTTTGTTACACAGTGCCAGCAACATTTTTAAGGTTATAATGGTGCCTCAATATCAATGACCTTGATAGATATAATCCTCCACGGGGTATCAAGCTTCCATTACACTAATGATGCCATACTCCTTGGAGGATAAAGTGAGTGCCACACATGCATGCAAATGGATAATAGATAAATTACCCCTTCAAAATTAAAGAAAATAATCAGACCATTCATGTTTATGAAATATCTAGACCTCTAGTCAAAGTATGATATATCTAAATATACACCTTCTAAAGTGAAATTAAATGGTTCCTCTGTCCAGGCATTATCATTCGGCAAAAATCCTGGATTTAGAAAGAAGCACCGACTGTGTGGTTCTTACCTGTCAATATGATTAGAGGAAACTTAAGAGCTTATAAACTAAATTGTGAAGAGTAATGATCATGATTTTCTGATTTATGACTTGAAATACACATACCCCAAATCTGGACCGGTTATGCCTTACTGCTAACAGCAACAGCAATGATAAAAAGCCACCCCTACAACTGAGTTCAAATTATATTTACTTGGCTAGCAAACATACAGGATTTGGTAGAGCACACTTGTCTATGGGCTCCAGAAACCTGATAGGGTGACAACAGCTGGTGACTGTAGCCACTAGAAGACTGACTCACTTGCATGTCCACTGACTGCTGCTGACTGTGAATGTCACCTGCTGAGGCTATGCTATTTCCAAGTGACTACTCAGCTTCAGCTTACGGCTACCTGTCACTTTCTTAAATAATGTGTGTGACTGTTTTGCCTGCATGTGTATCCACACAGCATGTTTATGACTTGTGTCTATAGGGGCCAAAAGGGGTCAGGGCCCCTAGAACTGCTAGAACTGGAGTTATAGGCAGCTATAAGCTGTGTGGGTGCTAGGAATGAAACCCAGGGACTTCTGGAAGACCAGCCAGTGCTCCTAACCACAAATCCATCACTCCGCCCCCAACATGTTCTTTGTACAAATTGGAATATTTATTTTATAATTCTTTTACTCACCCATGTGATATAATTAGAAGAATTTATCCAAAGTTTATCTGTACTTTGCTTTATATTAACTTTTAGTTAGCATACAAAATAATAGGTTTCATTTTGACATTTGCCTAAATACATACCATGCACTCTGTTCATATCTGTCCACCCTATTTACACTCCTTTGTCCCTCCTCCCTTCGTGCCTGACATTTTTATATTGGCTTTATAACAATGTGACAGCTGGGCCCCTGCAGACCCAAGCTAAAAATACATCTCTTAGTGTGACTAAGCAGAAATCACATATCCCTACATAGAAATAAGTGGTGGGAACATAGAAACCACATCTTGATGGACGAGCATCAGTGTCACATGGTCAAAAGAATATATGGGATCAGGACATAGAAGTAGCTAGATTTGGACATAGCTGCACACATTCAAAACAACAAGCTGGAAGATAAGTAGAAATTTCACAGAATAGATCGTTATTGATGGGGGGGTTTGGAACAGGAGGATCAAGTGGAGATGGCAAAGGAAAAGGGAGATGAGGGAGGGAGTACTAGGAGAGACTAAAGACCAAAAGATCCATTTGTACAGTGGTATTAAAGCCTAATACAGCAGAAGCTTCCTAAAATGCATACATGTATGAAGATAATCTAAATGAAATCACCAAACGAGAGAAGCAGAGCTCCAACTGGCCATCTCTTGTCACCAGATGAAGCTTCCTGCACCAGAATTTGGTTACATTTGGTTGTTAGCCAAAGGGGTCCCATGGTAACCCCCAAATAACTCAGACTGTCACCAAGATTATACATTACTCTCTACAAACTGGAGACAAAGCTGCATTGCTAAAGACAACACCTACACAACTCAATGAACATGGAGAAGCTGAGCTCATGTCTGCATAGAACCTTCAGCCCCACATTCTAGTGCCTTTGATACAGGAAGGTGATCTGCTCACTACCAAAGGTAAAACATAATAGCAACTCAGCCTCAAACCCTTTGATCAAGAATGGTGTCCTGCCTGCAGGATATGCTAGGGCAATGATGGTACAAAGTTTGTGAGAATAACCAATTAATATCTGATTTAGCTGAAGGCCCACTCCATGAGATGGAACACTTACTTGACACTCCTTGGGTGATCAAGAATCTAACACTAAATAGCCCAAGGTCCCAAGGTAAAACCAAATATTACAGGTCTAAAAGCAAAACAAAAAATTAGCAGCAAAATGACTCCTAATGACATTCTGCTAAACTCACCGATCAATGTCTTGCTCAGCCATCATCAGAGAAGCTTCCTCCTGTAGCAGATGAGAACAAAGACAGGGAGACTCACAGCCAGACATTATGTACAGAGTGAGAGACTTTGGAACATTGAGTCCTAACCACAATGTCTCCATCAGATCCTTTTCCTCATGGCTCGAAGCCGTGCTCAAGAGGAGTGCCCTTTGTGTATATATTATAGCTTCCAATTTAGTGAATTATGGGATTCCTGAGTGTGCAAATAAGTGGGCATCTATTTCTCATGCATTTTCTTGGACTCTTGATTGTTTTGTCAAATACTCATGTTAGTTTTTATTTTATCATATTACATTATATTCTGCTTTGTTATTATACCATAGAAGTCTGTTGATTTTGTAATGAGCGACAGGAAGGGAGTAGATCATATGGGAGGGGAGGTGGAGAGGAGCTGG